ATGGCGTGTCAGTGGGTGGCCATCTTCTCTAAGTAGATGAACCAGAAAGACCTAATGTAAGCTCATTAATTGATTGAAAATTAAAATATGATATCCTGGGGCACAGTAGGAACGGTAGAATATATTTGGGGTCCTGGGTGTTAGTCACTCACTTCTGGACTGGTAATTCTGGGATCTGGGAAGTCATCTTCTTTAGCAAGGGATCTAGAAAAAAGTAATCTTAAATACTGACCCACAAAATATGACCAAGTACACCAAATGAAAAAAAAAAGCTTAAACCTGCATACAAAAAAAAGTGATTACAGACTGCCCAGAAAGGACTATCTGAAGCAGGATCATCTTCTGGTCAGCCAAAATTATGCTGGTAATGTTGGATTTTGTGGGCCATCTTTAGTAATTGAACCATAAAAGCCTAAAGTAATCTCAATAATTTCACAAATTTACAAACTACAGTATATCCTGCGGCACAGTAAGAATGGTATAATTTATTTGCGGGTCAGTCACACTTAACGGAATAATGCCTGGATTTGTACTAATACTACATATTTATAGCCCTAACAGTTTAGCCAGATGAAACAAAGTGACATTACTACATACACTTAGCAAACTGTTGTACAGTTGGCTGATGTTTATATTGTTCTACTTAAGCTGGGTTCACACCTAGGCATATCGAATATGCGCGTTTTTACCGCGATTCGTGGTAAAAAAAAACGCACGACAAACTCATGTTTCCAGGGCTACCTGGCTGTATCCCAATGGGTACGCGCGGCAAATACGCCCCAAAGAAGCTCCTGTACTTCTTTGGGCGTAGGGCGTTTTGCAGCGCGTTCCTACGCACTGTAAAAGGCCCAGGTGGGAACCATGCCCATAGGCAATCATTGGTTTTCACATGTTGAACCTTTTACAGAGCGTAGGAACGCGCTGTAAAACGCCCAAGTGTGAACCAGGCCTTAAGGTTTAACTCGTTGGCTTCAAAGAAAATGTAAATTTTTTTGAAATCTTTCAATTTCTAAAGAAACCATGTGTTTCTCAAAATATATTAATAAGGATGATGTTGATAATGAAGACCTCAGTGATATCAAACATAGCATGTGAGACCTGTCTTATTTGTTGCTATTAATGTATATCATGTGAAAATTGCCTTACTTATTGCTACAGGAGGAGTTTGCATAACCATACCTCCCAGTCTTCTACATATACAATCGTTTTGCAGGGCAAACAGTACATCTTACCCTTGCATGCACTCAAGTGTCTTGTGAAAGATTTAATTCAAAGTAGAACATTTTAAAAATACAGATGTAACGAACTTACCCGTCCTCCAGTTCCAGGTCTTCCCTCGGCTCCGTCGGGGAACCAGCGACGTCATCAGCAAAGACATCAGGCGGCTCCTCCCCCTTCCTCTACTTAAGGTCGACAGGTTCACTTGCATGGGGTTTGTGCAAGTGTGTAGGACGCCAGGCAAGGACCTCCTAGTCTCCACACCGAACCTATTACTGTTGGGTCGGACGAGTGCCCCCTCTATCTGGCCTCAGCAGCCACTTCCTCCCACTCAACCCAGGCATACTGAAACTCCTTCCAGTGACTTCCTCAGCAACGAATCCCTTTATATGGGGAAAACCAGCAATTCATTGAATAGCCTCTGGGTGGCACTATGGGACCGAATCCTCACAAACTGCAAGTATACAGCATCAGCTATTTAAACCTTATTCAATTGACTGTTTCAAAGCAATTACTTCCTATGGGATAACGACTTTATCTGTACCTTATGCCACAAAATACCAGGTTATCGATATAGTGCTACACCAGATAATAACCTGCTACCTCCTTCCACTAACTTTACCAGATTGCGTAACTTAGAAACGCCATACGTTTCAATCGGCTCCACCAATACTGAAGCTGAGATCCAGTCCAACCCCACCAGACGGGCCTGGTACATTACAACAGATTATGGTCAGGCTCTTGTAGAATGTCTTATCTTACTAAACACTCAGGTGCAGTTCACCTAAATTTTATAGTGGACTGATCAAACAATATTCTGTAAATTCTATTTACTATCTGACAAAGTCTATCTCTCACAAAATGGTAATCATTGAAAGCAACTTTTACAGGGTCAAAATATTAATCCTGTAGAGCAAGCTTCTCAAAAAAAGTTGCAGATGACAATAAATATGGTGTGCAATTTCTCATCTTTCCTTATAGTTTGATGTAGTGAGTAACATATAATTTACAAAGTGGTAGCTGTGCCAATGTAATCATTGTGAGAAAACAGAATGGTATAGGCTGGAATCACCCTTTACAGCTACTAAACAATACCTAATCTAGTACAAACAAAACCTCAACACAATGGCTTTGAAATACCCAGCTATAAAAAGCAAAATGTGTGTACAGTAATTACAGGATGGGAAATCAATTTTCCTGCTCTTGTCTGTGTGTGTCACATAATATTTTACATAATTACTTATGATGGCAAACTGTATTACAAGTGCACTTTGAATTCATACAAGAAAAGCAAAAAAACCCACTAATTGTGAATTCTTATGTTGCTTTGAATACAGTCAGAGCTGTGACATAGCACCATCTGTATAAAGTGTCTGATAAGGGAATTACAATGGATTTTCACAAAAAATAGACAATGTGTACTCGAAAAAAAAACAGCAGCCCACTCTATAAAGTTTGCAAATTTTCCATTGTGGGAGCCTCATGGAGCCTCAGTCTGTGCTATCTTCTACTTGAACAATAGCACAAACTCTTGTACCTTTTCTTCAAAAAAACTTTGAGGTAAGGAAATTCTTTTAACATTAGTGAAACATATAATACACAGTAAATTTTTATTGTTAAGTGTTCAATAAAACATTATAACACTGATGGCAACAAGTGTATCCAGATTGCCTTGCCTACTATGCGCATTGTTAAATCCATGCTATTCCGGGCTAAAGAGTTTGAGGCATATTGTATACATTTTTGCAGTATAAATATATCCAGAAGGGATGCACCCATACAGTTTTTTTTGGCATCTACTACGAGTGTTGATATTTTTTTCTTAGTACTCGCCGATACAGAGTACCGATACCGTTGCCTTGTGCCCTGATTATCAATAAGTCGGCCGGTGGATCATGACCCATCGCCCCGGCTTCCCGATTGCCTGGGAAGCCGGTGTTCTATCAAAAGAACATCGGCTTCACTTGCCAATGCTGCCTGGCTTCCTGACCAATCAGGAAGCCGGGCGGCAGGTCACGAGGTGCCAGCCGGCTTCCTAATTGGTCAGGAAACCATGTCATGACTCTCCTCCCGGCTTCCTGATTGGCTAAGAAGCCGACTTCACTTGTACGAGGACTTGCCCAAATACTCGGTATCACATCGATACCGATACTAGTATCGGTATCGGTGCATCCCTAATATCCAGTAACTTGAAACCCAGAATAAGAAGAGTGAATGCTTAACCCACTATCACGATCTATCTGAAATGTGCTCTTAGGTGGTACAGCATTACAATGAATCTATAACTTGAGGTCAATGGGCACCATTTTGCTATATGCACAACTGCTCTGACCAGGATTAGTTAAACAAACCATGGCAACAGCAGGCAAGGTTAATGGTCCCTATCTGAGACATGTGGCTGTAGGTTTTACAGTCAATATGCAAATATATACAAAGTTGCAACAAACAACAGTGAATACCTGTAAGCATTAAAAAATACCTGATGCAGCATAAAAGCCAGTTAAGCATCGGTCAGCCTGAGACAAGCTGCACCTCAAATATATTCTGCAGTTTCATTCTCCACACTCCTGTTTAACACTAGTATGTGTTAGGGACACATAAATGTGAAATTTAAATTGTTGTGAATCATAGCTAGAAATGTGCAGGTTTTTTTCTAAGGCTTTCACTTAGACAAAATTTCATTTGCACGTTTTCTTGCCTCAAGCCAATTTATTGGCGCAGCTTTAATTGAAAAAATATCGCAAAACATAATTTATTGAAGATGCATTGTTTGGAAAGCTTATTATATAAAACAGTGTATTTTTACATCAGCTCCTATATTTAGTTTGTTCAGCTTAGCTTTGAAATTGAAAGATAGAAGCTGATTGGTTACTATGAGCAAGTGCTCCAGATTTTGCCTGCTCCAGTTTTGGACAATTACTCTCAATGTATTTTTAATATAAAATAGGTTGCTGCATTTCATGGCATTGCAGACTGACCTAACACTTTTGTTTTTTAACAGTACATATACACTGAGTGGCCAGATTATTATGACCACCCCATCAGTACTTCATTGGGCCACGAGATAACTCCACGAGATGACTTCGTTTGGCCGCCTCTTGACTTCACGAGATGTTGAAAGGTGATGCGAGGAATCTGACACTGCACTGTTGCCCTTCTGTTGTCTTGTACCAGTCTTGCCACTCTCCATTCTGCCCTAACATTGACTAGTCGCTGACGGCCACAATTCACACGTTCAGACCCAGATTTTGGGCTGACAGTCCAGTCTTTAAACACTTTAACAATGAGCCCCTCTTGAACATTTAACAAATTCTGCTGTTTTGCTGATACTCACTCCATGGCTTGAGCGCCAACAATCATCCCACGTTCAAAGGCTGTTAAATCGCGTTGTTTACCCATATCTTCAGAAAAAAAATCACTTCTACTGTCGTGGTAAACAACCTGCTTCCCTATTTATACATTTATAATGGTCTGGCCCTCTAGCAACTTCAGCCGAAATTATAGCTAACTATAGCTAATTTGCCTACAAATGTCAGGTGGTCATAATAATCTGGCCACTCAGTGTAGTTACTAACACTCTTGAGCACATCTCCATCCAGTAGCTATGTTTATACATAATGGCTAAAAGCAATATTAGACAAAAAATTGCATAACAAGCTTAATTCCCCAACACATTCATTAAAACAAAATAATTAAAAATATTGTGTTAAAATAGTTTTTTTTTTAAACTTACTTCGGCATAGAACCTCTTGGCCACTGTCCATCTGGATTTTTCTGTTCTATTACTAGCATCTGTGTAATAGAAATGATAAAAAAAGACAATACATACAACATGAAAAAAAATGGAACTAATTCCATAACAAGGAACGTCGCATATAGTAAGCTACATCCATTGCTGTCTCAGGAAGAAAAGCAATTTAAAAGTAGATCAATGGAATTACAAGCCTATGGATAAAATGCTGCTGTCCTCAGAGGTTATATGGAGACATCTTACTATACTAAAGAAAATGCTTTGTTCTTCTGAAAATACATTCAAAAAGACAGGAAAATGCATTTCACGATGTTGATTTTTCTTTAAAGTTTTTTCCATTTTGCAGCTGTCGCATAATGTTTCTGAGATATTTTTCAAACAAATATTACACAGATCTGCTAGTCTGCACTTTTTTTTTTTTATTGTAGACAACTACAATACACGTCGCAATATTTGCATATCTTTGGTATAATGTAAATAGGCTTATGATTCCTACCGGTACTATGCTTCTATCTACGGTGCATTTAGAGTATATGTGATATTAAAGTCAAAAGCATTTTAAGCTATTTCAAATGCTGATTACATCACTTACAATGGATGATTTTCTTGATGTTTAAAAGTTTTAGCTTCCTGCACAATCAGCTGGTCCCCCAAGCACTGGTCCTGACTTTCTGTTGTAGAGTGATTCCTTTCTCAAGCAGAGTGCTATGCAGTCACCCTTGTGTATGTGCTAGTAAGCTGTGCGTGTCTCCACAAACACAGAAAATCCAGCTACTTCCCTCCACCCTGGCCCCCTCTCATCCAAGCTAGTAGATGAGCAGTTGCTGGAGTCTGCTCTGTCCTTTGATCTTGTACTGGACAGGAAGCTCAGGGAAGCTGAGCTGAGAGACTTGGAAGCAGTCTCTGCTGATGATGATTGTAAGTTTTGGGGCAAAAATGTAATGCTTTGCTGGGCAATATATATTTGTTTGGTCTGGATTCATTATTGAAAAAACATTTGGAGCATTTCATATGAGTTACTACTTTGTTATGTTTATGTGTCCCCACTAGATAGATTAGTCCTCTCTTTTTGGCTTAGTGACCATGGTCACCATGACAGATAGCAATAGAAAATTGATAATTTAAAAAATTGTCATCAGAACAAAAGGTGAGGGGAAATCTTCCAATGGGACACCTGTTTCAGTGTCACTATCTGAGAGGGGAATTCCCCTCACATATAGGGATTTCCTGTTACTCCTTGCGGCTTCCACTGGACAGGAGGTAAGGGAACATTTCCCCAAAAGGAAAGGGCAAAAACAACACATTTTGGCTATATATTATACACACTTTAAAGTAGAAATCCATACAAACAATGCAAACAAGCAAATCACAAAACCATCTTGTTTCCATGTGCAACCAAGCGGTTTGTAATATACATCTATAAAGAGTTAATGTTCAAAAATATTGCTACATGTGCCAAATATTGTGTTATTTTTAAACTGTGTATATTGTTTCTCCTGAACATCTCTTAGTATTATGAAGAAAATACTTGATTTTCCAAAACCTACATGTGAGCTCTTGGTAGACACAGTTTCCATTTTGGTACCATCTTTCAGCCACCAAAAATATCATTTTGTTTAGGTTATACCTGTCCTTGATACAAGCCAGCATCCTGTATAGTGCTTTCTGGTTTATTTAGAGGCTCAAATGTATTGCTCATGTATTTGTTCCACAGTCTGGTCTCTTTTTCATCTGGAATACTGAATATTCTCCTCATCTCCTTTTCAATCATATCTAAAAATGTTAAAATTGACATATGAGTGTTTATGTATGTACATTATGTATATTATTCTTCTGAAAACAATGATTTTGCAATAAGTTACAGAAAACGCAAAACCTACAATAGAACTTAAACATAGCTAGTTATCTTTTGCCTCTTTTCTGTGGCTCACTTACTATGGCAGAGAGACAGATCAAACACTCTGCAATAATTGTAAGAGATCAGATCATTTCATCTACTGCTAGTGGGAACATTCATTTCCAAAAGATCATTATCATTCATAATATTCCTATAAAATGGTTAAATTTAGAGATATGACATTCCTCTTGTTTCTCATCTTGGATAACACTTTGCCTAGTTTTTGTCATGAAAGACTGACCTACAAATGACTTACCTATTGCGTCAGCTTTACTAAATCGCCTTGTTACCACGTTGCTCATATTGCCATTCTCGCACAGTTTAAGTTCAGTTAAGTAAACTTCTACTTTGCAGTGCTTTACAAACATACCCTGTTCAACTACCTGGAAATAAAAAAGAATGATACAAGTCAGTAACAGGAATGAGGCCAGAACATCTTTTCAGAAAGGTGGCTTGGCAATTTACACTGCAGTGCTGGGATTAAGGATCAGTTCTCACTATCATTATGCAGTATAATATATATATTTTCAATTTGAACTGATTCAAAATAGCACCTCTTTCTGTGAGTCTTGTAAATTGAAACCAAATATATAATATATCTCAATGGGAACTGAGGGAGTTAGGTTCCAGGCCTCTCCCTAAACAAGGAATGGTTATAAGTAGCAACTGGTGTAAACTGAAACCCAGTAAATAATGTAAGTCAGTGGAATGTGAAGGAGTTACCAGACAACAGGGTGCCAGTGAACAATAGTGCGCTGTAGTGTTGGGTACATTTCAATCTTGGCACTCATAGTTGTACTGCTAATAGTAAGTTAAGCTCACTAATTACTTTAATGTGTTTACTGTGCCATTAGCAGCACAACTATAAAGTGAACAAATTGAATAACTGGTGCACACACAAAACATGTTCATATTTAAATGTGCTGAAAAGTAAACTGGACTTACAGTTTTAATGTGATCCCTGCGTCTTTTCATGGCCCAGTTGTGCTATGTCTGGCTTTTAGGATATTGCTTTCAGCGGACCCCAGAGCAGCGCCAGCGCCTCGCACACCCCAGCCCAGGCCAGCAGCACCAAAGCCCTGCACACCTCAGGCCAGCTGCACCAAAGCCCTGCACACCTCAGGCCAGCAGCACCAAAGCCCTGCACACCTCAGGCCAGCAGCACCAAAGCCCTGCACACCTCAGGCCAGCAGCACCAAAGCCTCAGCCACTTATAGCATTCATTTTATTCCTGCCCTATGAGTTAGAGCAGGAATAAAATCAAAGCCATTTGTGGATCAAGATACTGCAGTGCATTTGTGGGGGTTTGCGTGCAGGTATAAGGGCTAATGTTGGGTGGGTGAGCCGTATGTATGTAACTTACACTAATATTGCAGGGTGATCCTCCAGCTCTATCCGTTCTGGTTCTGATGTTGAGCAGTATGGTGGCAGGGAACAGCAGATCCTCTGGCAGGACACACAGTGCTTCTGTCCTGCAGGCTGCAAGTGAGGGAACCGTCAGGCAGGAGCTCGGGCACACCATTTAGGGCCTCTCCCGTGCGCCTCTGCACACCAATGTCCTTTAGCCACGTCAGGGAGGTGCGTGGGACAGACTTCTAATCGACAGCCGGCTCGATTGAGCAGTCAATTTAGAGAATAATTTAGTGTGCCAGCAGAGATAGACTCGCCGGGGGTTGCCGACCCCTAGTCTAGAACCATAATATTTATATATTTATAAGCCCAGAAACACTGTATGAAACCCTTTTTTGCTTACTTAAATCTGCTGTCAAATGAGCAACAATGTTGCAACTTTCACAGACCAGACAGTAAAAAACTGCTCTCTGTGCAGCCACCCAGTCTTGTTGCCACTGCAGCAGTGTAAGGGATCATGTACATGAGTGCATGTCCCATTGACAGGAGGTTTTACACAGAAAAAACAGTAAGGAAAATCTTCAAATGTGCCGCATTTCAAAGTAAGATAACTTGATCAGGACTCATAACCAGGTAAACTCCTAACGGAATGTTAAATCATACAAACAAGATGCTGGAAAGACATGGAACGAAAGCACCCGCTACGTTTATTCTTTTGGTGTGGCTGAGCAATTATCATATGAAAGAGTTGGTATAGGTGATGGGACTACTGGACATGCAGCTTCGATATTCCAGAGGATCTCCACCGTCTCCTTGGTTTGTGGTATCAAAATTGCAGGATTGTGAATTGAAGTACCACACTCCATTTAACATCCATCTTTATTCAATGTAGGGTTGAGGGGACAGTATATAAACCCCAACTCTAATGGATTTAATTGGATACTGTTTTGTCCAGTGTGTGAGCAGCCAAAACCGCTGCCGATGAGCTCTATGCATTCTCACACACTGGACAAAAGGTGCAAGTTATCTGGTTCTGGGGATTTATTCACATTAAGTTTTACTAGTCCACGGCAAAACCTTTTAATAGGCTCTGGAGAGGACAGATAATGGCACCTGTCTAAGCTGCCTGGTGTGGGGGAGCTGGAGTGAAGCAAGCTTTACAAAACAAAGCTTTCAAAGAATGACAGCGCAGTTCTTAAAAACCAGCCGCATGTCAGCTGTGAGCTCATATGCTCAGCGGCTGTACCTCACTCACCATTCTGATGAAGAGGCTCGGACGGCGAAACATGTTAGTGGATGTACTCCCTTTCTTCCATGGTACATCTTAAAGGGTTATTAAAGCAAGCAGTAGATATACGCAAAAATGATTTTTTTTAAAACGCTTTAAAAAGAGGTTAAAACTTACCTGTGTCTTCACTGCACGCTCCCATCCGAAAATCTAAAAAATCTCAGGTGGCCGCAAAGGATCTTAGGGCGGGAGCATGCGCAGTTCAGATTTTCGGCTGGGAGACGAGGAGAGACACAAGGTAAGTCTATGGACAGCGTGTACCCGCATGCAGACACCGTGGGACAGGAAGTGCCAGCAAGGACAGAGGAGTCAGTGCTGGATCGGAGACCCGCAGCAGCGCTGGAGGGACATCTGAAAACATCAGGAAAGAAGATGAAGATTGGATTAAGAGACATCATTTAAGGCAAGTGCTTACATTAACATTGGGGGGAGGAAAAAAAAGAATTACACTTTAATGTCACTTTAACCTCTTTGCCAACTTTTGGGACATGCTTGCATATTTGTACCTCATGGTTTTTGCTGCGCTCATGCCAGAGATAACCCTCCCTGCTCACATCTCTCCTGTTGCCAGCCACCCAGCAAGAGTGTTTGGTAAGACTTTGCTCACATGACCGAGTCACTGGGAGTTTAGGTGTTATGCCCTGATCAACGTATCTTGTTGTAAGTGTAATTTCATATTTTTTTATTTATTACAAGGTGTTTTTATCTGCATGATCCAGTGCACTCTGTTTTGTGTTTCTATTCAAGTTTTTGCATAGCCACTGACCAAGGTCCATGTCAGCAGCATGCTAAGAACTACCGTTCCACATTACAGTCCGAAAGAGATGAACTGAGATGCAGCCTGTCACATGATCATATTGTAAGGTAAGCATCTGGAGCAGTTAACATCATTTTGTGACAATAAAACAATAGACTGCCTAGAAGCAGGTGCAAGGGAAGCAAGCAAATTATTTCCAAGCCTGGAGTTCAGCTTTAAATTAGAAATTGGGGTTAAATACTAATACATTTTATTAAACTTAAATAACAAAACCTGTGGCAGGTAGCGGATGGTACAACCTGTCACAAGATACTACTCGCTGTGAATTTCACAACCAAGCACCACTCAAAATGCTTTGCAGTTTTTCCACTTTTGCTCCAGAGAGTTTAAACATGTTCCCTGCCCTTTTCCTCAGTGTACGATGCCTGTTGCCTGACTGACCTACCAGCAGGCCTGGGCACTGTCACTTGGGGTTAGAAGGGCTATGTGCTACTAATTTTGTCATTCTAATTTCCTCAGAAGAAACTAGAAGAGATGCTGAAAATGAAGGGACACCAACAAACATGACAGCCAAATAGGAAAGGCTGTATTTGTACAAAAAACAGGGCATGTAACAGGCTACAAATAAACATAAAAAACAACTGCTTAAGAAATAAATATATATATCTATATACATACATAATCTCAAAGATAAGATACATTAAACAAGGGTGTGAAAATTGATAGTGCATGAAAACTCATTATTGGTGTGGGGTGGAAGCCCCAAGCTAGCATCTGATCATTAATTTGTATGGTGACATTTAGGAAATAAAAACAAACGTGCTCTTCAGCATTCTCCATTGCATTTGCCTTTATAAATGTACCCAAAAAGCCACACAAAGAAGCAGTGTACCATGAACATAAAATACCTTGCGAGATACGGGTTCCTGATTTTCCATCAGTGTGTACCAGCTAACAAGCTTGTTCCATCCTTCGGTAGGCAACAGAATGTAATCAAGCTCATCAATAAGATGTTCCTTAAGAGACTGTGCGTCAGTATCTGCGAAAGAGACTGTCAGCATTTAAAAATTGAGACTAATAACCGGAATGTTTAAAAGAAAAGGCATAGTACAGAATGTAAGTACACAGAACAGCAGCTTCTATAGGTAATTTGCCTATAACAGAGGTTCTTAACTCATGGCATGTGGTGCCTATCATAGGTTTAGATGCTATTCATGTTAAAGTACTGAGTTCCAGTTCACACCATTGCAAAACCCACATATGGGTTTGGTTTTTTAAATGTGGTGTGGTTAAGTGACCCTGTCACCACAGGGCACTTGTAAATCAAGTATACCCTAAAGAAAAGCATACATACTTACCTTTGGCTCAGTGGCTCATGTCTCCAAACTCCGTTACTTTGCTGTTCTCTGGCCACTGCACGTATTCCGCATGCACAAATATGTTTAACAGATTATAATTAAAACTATTTACCTTGTGGTTTTGGGGAGCTGTGAACAGGCATTTTTGTGCAGTTACAACACTATGGTGTGAATAAGTATTAACAGTTCCAGGTTATAGCAGATCAAACATGGACTCACACACGCAGAATCACATATATACACGCAGTAGGTTGAACTTGATGGGCCTGTGTCTTTATTCAACCTCAAATTAGGGCTGCAGCTAACGATTATTTTCATAATCGATTAGTTAGCCGATTATTGAGTTCGACTAATCGACTAATCAGATTTAAAAAAAAAAAAGGGTTCAGTGATGGACTACTAGTTTCTATTGAGATTGTAGTCCATCACGGGATGACGAATGAAAACGCTGACAACGTTTACCATCGTCGATTTTAATCAATTTAATCTAATAATTGTTGCAGCTCTACAGAATACCAGCGGCACACTGCTGAACACCAGCAGCTATAACCTCAAATACTATGTAACTATGCATGTAACAGGCATTTTTGTGCAGTTACAACACTATGGTGTGAATAAGTATTAACAGTTCCAGGTTATAGCAGATCAAACATGGACTCACACACGCAGAATCACATACATACACGCAATAGGTTGAACTTGATGGACCTGTGTCTTTATTCAACCTCAAATACTATGTAACTATGTATGTAATACATAATTTAAAAAGCAGGTCTGAGTATTTAACTATTTGAAGTACTAAAATTTAGGGGGAAAAAATTAGAAAAAAAAAAATGTATACATGCATCGACATTAAAGAAGAACTTCACCATGCCTACCTAAATTTAAATTTCATGTCCCTAATAATTATACCTGTATGAACACAAAACACCATACTCCCTAGTCCAAGGAGTCCAGCCTTGCCTTCCTTGCAGCTGAAGTTCTCCTCACCAACACTTCTACTGCCATCTTGAAACAAGATCCCTTTGCACATGTATAGACATGCCATGGGTCTCTGCCAGGTTCCACAGACTATTGGGGAACTATGTGGTGTGTACGTGAGATCTCAAGCAGAGAAACTGCTTCCTGGGGTGTGTGACAGACATCACAGGAGGCAGCAGGTGGCCGGACATATGACATCCTTGCCCATGCAAAGTTTCAGAAAAAGCAAAAATCGCTCACACTGAGCGATTTACCACGCGATATCGCTCTCCAATGCATGGCCATGGGGCTCTGTCCATCGCTGTTGCGGGTCGTGCGCCGCTACAGCAGGACCCTTTTTGGAGCGGATTTTGCCGCCATTCTAGTTTGCTCAATGCAACCATTTGCGCGATATCGCGCAAAATGCAAATCGAGCAGCAAATCGCTCAGTGTGAATGGGGCCTAAAACTGTCTTTGAATGCGCCAGCTTCAATAAATTTGGTTGGTAAACCTATACCAGATTCTAAAAGGTTCACAAGGAAGTATAGAAATAAAAATCCCCAATCCGCTCTTTCTCCCCCACCCTGTCCAAGATGTCCTCCCAGTAATTGGAAAAAAATCACAGTTCTTCCAGATCTGGGGAAGTGTGTGACATATGGGCAGAGCGTTCTGTTTAGGCTTTTTTTTTTTTCTCTTTTCATATCTCTGTAGGTTGAACTCGATGGACATGTGTCTTTTTTCACCTGACTATGTACTATGTACTATGTAACTATGTTGCTTGCCTTCCCACAATGCAGTTCTTGGGTATTGATCAGCCAATTGCCAAGCCCCACTACTGTCATATGGGTTGGGTGTGCAATTCTAGTGCATTTTCAACAACTGCTGGTGACTTTATAGGGACATCGGTGTTTTATGTTACACATATTCAGGGTGTAACATGGTCACATCGCAATCCCCACCACTTACCTGAATCTTGCCACGGACACAGATTTCGACGCAACTCCTTTGACAGGATTTGTGATGGGAGAAACTGCAAGTCCCACCAGCCACCACGCCACAGCTACACACATTAAACTCACTTGCATGGACGTGTGATGTGTTTTATGTAACGTGTTACTATGCATTTTCCTTTTAATTCTAGAGCAGGAGCCAAATAACTTTATTTTGCTCTGTGTTGTGATGCTTTTCACTGCGTTTTAATGCAGCATGTCCCATTTTTGGACCGATCGAGAACAATATAAATGTTATTGCGCAATCTGCAATTGCTGATCTTCTGAAAACAATAGTTCCATGTCTGCCATGCTATTCAGTAATGTCGGAGTCACAGACCTGGAATAAGTATGTAGATTAGGGGTTTTGACTTTACCCTGACATTCAAATCTCCATTATTTTTACATGTCACTGACTCAGTAAAGCCAGCAGTCAGGAAAGGAATATAGAAAGGAGGTCAGAACTGGAAACCTCTGTATTTCTCTCACTACAAGTTGCCATTAAAAGGAAACTATAAAGTATATTTTAACAAGCATGCATTATCATTGTAATATTTATTAGAAATACATTTGTAAAAGGTGAAGTCCACTTTTAAAGTAATATTAAAGTCAAAAGGTTTTTAAGCTATTTCAAATGCTGATGAAATCAGGTACAATGGATGCTGCTCCTTGATGATTAAAAGTGTGGGCTTCCTGAAGAATCAGCTGGTCCCCTAAGCACCTGTTATCCTGTTTTACAGTGATTCCTTTCCCTTGCCAGGTCCTATGGAGCCACCCTTGCGTGTGCTAGTAAGCTGTGTGTGTCTCCACAAACACAGCAACGCAAGATACGTCTGCTCCCCACTTCTTTCTTCCCTTCTCCAAGCTAGTAGATGGACTGGAGACTGCTCTGTCCCTGGTGACCATGTACTGCGCAGGAAGTTCAGGAAAGCAGAGCCGAGAGATATGGAGCCAGCTGTTTGGAAATATGATGACTGCAAGACCTTGAGCAAAAATGTTGCTGGGGCATGTATATTTGTCTGATCTAAATTCATTATTGAAAAAAATAAAATAAAAACTTTTATTAAAAAAATATAATAAATGCACACAACTTCAAGAAATGTGCATTTTTTATTTCTTTGCATTGGAGCCATAAAACATTGTAACCGTAATCAGTGTATCATGGGTGCACTGCTCTGGCTCCTGTTCGTACCTTGGTAAGAACATTCAGTAACATGGACAGCATGAAGAATGAGTGGACTACAAGTGTGGTGACGTCACCGCACTTGCATTCTATTGAGAACTTTAAGTACCTGTACCACGGTGGCTAATGAGACTTGAAGTTTCCCCATTCACAGAAGATAATTTATCAAAACTGGAGCAGATGTGCATGGCAACCAATCAGCTTCTCTTTCATTTTCAAATCTTAACGGAACAAACTCAAGAGATAGAAGCTGACTGGTTGCCAAGCACATCTGCTCGCTCCAGTTTTGATAAATTCCTCTCACAGATCCCGCAGGGAGAAGAAGCCTATGATTCAGGCAAGTGGGGTAGGGGGGAGTTTGCAATGTGATCATGTACAGGTGAAACTCGAATAATTAGAATATCGTGCAAAAGTAATTGCAGTAAGTGCTGCAAAAGGGGCCCAAACCAAGTACTGAGTACATATGCATGCTTGTACTTTTCAGAGGTCCGATATTGTTCTATGTACAATCCTTGTTTTATTGATTGCATGTAATAATCTACTTTTTTGAGGTTGTAGATTTGGGGTTCTTGGGGTTTTCATGAGCTGTAAGCCATAATCCTCACAATTATGACAAATCACGGCTTGAATTATCTTGCTTTGCATGTAATGAGTCTATCTCATATTTTAGTTTCACCTTTTAAGTTGCATTAGTGAAATAAATGAACTTTGCACGATATTCTAATTA